AGCTGTGTCAGGACCTGAGAATTGACCTAAAGATCAGCCCTGGTCACCAAGGGCTGCAGGGATGACTGTGCTGGTCGTCTGTGACTAGGAAGGGAAATAGCAAGGAGGGAGACAACCTGAGCTGTGGACTTTCTGCAGTCTGGAGGACACAGCCATTTTGATTGTTTACATGTAGTAGCCATTTTGGATACTTAAAGTGATTGAGGGCACAGCCAGTTTGAATCTTTACAAGTGGCAACCATTTTGGATTTTAAAGTGATAGCATTCTCATTCAGATTCCAGGGACCTAAGAATAAGCTCTCTTTGCCAAGGCTGGCAGGGACATACAAGAGGCTGACAACAGGAAAGGAGACAGGTGGTGAGCGTATAAGTGCTATCAACTTATGAATAGAGGAGCACAGCACAGTACCCTGCTCACATAGATAACATACAATCAATATAAAGAAAACAAAAATCATGGGCAAGTCACTCCAACATACAATCACCAATTAAATATAAACCCCAAAACGTCAAAATGCCTTGGAGACAACAGACCATCACAGTGCACCCAAAGAAGCAAGATAAAGCAGGAGAAACAAGGAACCAGGATACAGACCCAAACATATCCCTGAGGAAGATGCAGCATTGGAACTCCCAGATAAAGAATTATATTTATGTATCTTCAACGAATTGAGAGACAGATCAAGGAAAACACTGACAAAATTGAGGAAACACAGAGAAAACCCTACAACAGTTTCAAAAGATAATACAAGAAAAAAATGACAAATAAATGATAAAAAATCTACACACAGAAATCCAGAAGATTAATACTAAATTTTCAGAAATAGATAAGACATTGAATGGGCAAAGGAGCAGAATTGAATCAATGGAAGACAGAATTAGGGAGATTGAAGGCAAATACCTGAACACTTCTTTGGAAAGGGATCAATCAGAAAAAAAGATCAAAACAACATGAAGAAAGCCTAAGGTTCACGTGGGATACTATCAAAAGGAATAACCTACATGTAATCTGAATTCCAGAACAGGAAGAGACAAATAAAATCACAGAGAAAATTGTCAAAAATTTGTTGGAAGAGAATTTTCCTGGTATGATGAAAGATGAGAATATATCCATTCAGGAAGTCCAACAAACCTCAAACAGAATAGACCCCAAAAGAAAATCACCCAGATGTATCATCATCAAACTTAACCAAAACCAAAGACAAAGAAAGAATCATGAGAGCAGCATGGAAAAAACAAAAAGTTACCTACAAGGAGCAACCAATAAGACTAGGCTTGGATTTCTCAGCAGAAACCGTGTAGGTGAGAAGAAAATGGGATGGTATATATAAAATACCGAAGGAGAAAAATTTCCAACCAAGAATTAGGTACCCAGCAAAATTGTCCCTCAAAAGTGATGGTGAAATTAGGACATTTCCAGATAAGCAGAAATTAAGGGAATTTGTTAAAACCAGACCAACCACCTTACAAGAGATGCTAAAGGGAGCCCTTTGGACAGAGAAGCAACAACAGGCAACAAGAACTGACCATTAACACACATGATGATATAACCCAGAAACCAACCCAGCTATGGAAGTATCCAAAGTAAACAAGCCTACAAGATTGTAAACAGGGAACCAGAGACATCAATTGACAAATGAGGACAACTACAAACCAAAAAGAGGGAAAAAACTGTGTCTTTACAGAATTTCTCAGTGGCAGGGAAGTCGAGACAACTACAAGATAGAACGGACTGTCCCAAACTTCGGAAGGAAACTATAAATCACAGGGTAACCTCAAAGAAAAATGATAAACCTTCACATCAAAATAAAAAAGAGGACCAGCATAAGTATTCTGCAAATACTGAAACAATAGCAACAAAAGAAGTGATAACACGATTCATAAACTAAAGGAGCTCAGCATAGAAAATTATATGGAACAAAGAAATTGACATCACAAGAAAGCACATAACAAAAGTGACAGCAACAAATTCATATTTGCTGATAATTACATACCTGACAAGGGACTTATCTCTAAGGTTTATAGAAAATTTCAGTGCCTTAACACCAAAGGAATTAACAATCCAATTGAAAAGTAGGCAGAAGACATGAATAGACACTTCACCAAGGAAGATATTCAGGTGGCCAGCTAATACATGAAGAGATGATCGCAATCATTGGCCATCAGAGAGATGCAAATCAAAACAACAATGAGATCCCAACTCAACCCAGCATTGATGGCAAGGTTCAATGAGACAGAAAATAAAAAATGCTGGCAGGGATGTGGAGAAATTGGGATTCTCATATACTGCTGGTGCAACTGTGAAGTGATACAACCACTGTGGAAAGCAATATAGAGATTTCTTAGAAAGTTGGAATTGGAGATACCATGTGACCCAGCAATCCCATTACTTGGTATATATCCTAGAGAGGTGAGAGCCAGGACAGAAACAGATATGTGCACACTCATGTTCATTGCAGCACTATTTACAATAGCAAAAAGATGGAAAAAACTCACATGCCCATCAGCTGAAGAGTGGATGACCGAACTATGGTACACACACATACTGGAATTCTATGCAGCACTAAGGAATAATATAGAGTCTGCAAAACACTGCATAATATGGATGAACTTGGAGGACATTATGCTGAGTGAAATAAGTCAATCACAGAAGGACAAATATAGTATTAGTGTGTTGTTGTGGAGGGTCAAGGAAAGTTTATATATATAAACTTTCTTTGTTGGTTGCCAAGGGTGAGAGGGGAGGGGAGAGAACACTGAAAAAAAAAAAAATGCATTGACCCATGTCACTTTAGTTTTGTGTATTTCACTGTCCATAAATTATGTTTCAATAAAATGCATTTAAAAAAAAAAAAGAAGATGGCAGGGGTTCTAGAGTTGGAATAGCCTAAGAATCCTTTTTCTCTTCCCAGCTTTATGCCCCTGGGCAAATCATTTGACCTTTTTAAGCCTCAGATTCCTTATGTGAAGTAACCCCTTACCTGCATTAATCTTTCAGGGTGCAGGGCACTTGAACACATATAATGGGTGGTAAGACTTTGGGGTTCAGCAGACTATTTCAAGTCCTAGTTCTGCCACTTTATTAGCTGGTTGGTTTGGGACAAGTTATTCTCTTTCTCTGAACCTCATTATTGTTATCTGTATTGGAGGCTAATAACAGATTGTTGCAAGGCTGAAGTGTGATAATATGTTTAAAGAACATCATACAATGCTGGCACATAGTAGGCGCTCTGTAAGTGCAGCTGCTATTAATATGATCGTGTCTTAGTTATCTAATGCTACCATAACAGAAATACCACAAATAGGTGGCTTTAACAAACAAATTTATTTTTCACAGTTGAGGAGGCTAGAAGTCTGAACTCAGAGTACCAACTCTAGAGGAAGGCTTTCTCTCTGCTGGCTCTAGAGGAAAGTCCTTTCTAATTGCTTCTGTGATCACATGTGATCTTCATGTGGCTTGGCGTCTCTCTTGGACGTCTCTGCTTTCTCACTTGCTTGTTTAAAAAGATTAACTTAAGACATACCCTATACTATTATTGTCTCATTAACATAACAGAGAAAAATCATTCCCAAATGGGATTATAACCACAGGTATTACTGAAAAAAAACTAAACTCATTGCTGTCACGTTGACTCTGACTCATAGCGACTCCCATTGGGTTTCTGGGGTGGTAAATCTTTGCAGAAGTAGATTGCGTTGTCTTCCTTCCATGGAGTGGCTGGTGCTTTTGAACTGCCAACCTTCTTGTTAGCAATCAGATGCCTTAGGCACTGTGCCACCAGAGCTTCTTAAACACAGGTATAGAGATTAGGATTTACAGCATATATTTTTGGGACAAAATGCAATCCATCACAGATCACCTTCAGCATCACACATCAAGTACAGAGGAAATTAGGACCCAAGACTTACTGAGGCCTCAGACATCGACCAAAGCACTGAGTCAATAGCCCTGAAGCAAATGAAGACATCAGATCTCTTGGTCTCTGGACAGGCTGAGGCCATGCTTTGGAAACAGGAAGACCAGGCTGTTCCCGTGCTATATGGATGCTGCTGAAGTCTCAGGCAGTGGGTGGGTAAAAGGAGGACAGTTGACATTCCTCCCTGGGATGAGAGATATCTGCAGGGCTGGCCTTTATCCATGCTTTCAAGAGGTGCTTATTCATCCAGGCCTTGTACCAGGTGCTGGAGATCCATCAATGAGCAAAGCAGAGCCAGCCCTGCCCTCTCGCAGCTGACAGTCTGCTGTAGCCCCACCCACAGAAACAGGTACATAGGTGATTTAAGATTTCCTACTAGCCACAGTAGTAAAAGCAAGGAGAAACAAGTGGAATTAATTTTAATATATTGTATTTAACCAAGTGTGTCTAAAATATTATTTCAATATTTTAAAAGTATTAAGGTTTCACATCCTCTTTCTCATATTAAGTCTTGGAAATATGATGTACATTTTACATGTTCAGCACATCTCAATTGGGACATTTCAAGGGTCAGTGGCAGGCAAAATACAAGATGGCACAGATCAAACACAAGACAGACTTTTTAGTATTCTCCTGCATTAAATACGATCACGATCATGTTGAGTGCCACAAAGAGGCACAGGATGCTGAAAAGACCATAGCAGGGCCCTGATCAGGGTGAAGGTCAGGGGGGATCTCCCTGAGTGGGATGAGTAGGAATTGTCAAGGTGAAGATGGGGATGGTAAGAGAGAGGATCCTAGGCTGCGAACTGTGAATCAGAACCCTTAGGGCTGCTTTTCCATAGATTCCAATAGACTACACACAAATATTACAGGTGAGTTGTAGGCTAAGAGTGGTACCGGTCCCACCACATGCCCTGCCCCAGGATTACCCTGTCTGTAGGTGTTAACAGAAACAAAATCCCAAGGATTCTCTGTTTGGGTATGAGTTTGGTGGGGTTGATTGACAGAGTCACGGAGAGGCTGAGACATTGGTCCTGGAAACTGTGAGGAGGAGCTCTAAGGGTGACTCATGGTTTTCAGAGGGTCTCCCCAGACACTCGAGCACCCACCCGCTTTGTGGATGATGAGGAGCTAGCATATGTGATCCAGCGGTACCGGGAAGTGCACGACATGCTTCACACGCTCCTGGGGATGCCCACGAACATCCTGGGTGAGTGCCACCAAGCCAGCTGCCTTGAGATTGGGGGTGTGGGGAATGGGCAGGGTGGGATGCTGCAGCTAGCTTGCCTTCCCAGGCCTGTCTTCGGACCAGGGCCAGACTCACTTGTCCTAGCCACCCACCAATTAACTGGCTCAGTGCCTCATTGTCTGCTTTACCCAAACATCTTGGTAGGATCTCTGGCCCTCCTGTATCCCCTTGTCTCCATCCTTTTTGCCTGTTTACAGCTCCTACACTGGTGGCACAGCTTCTCACCTCGTTTCCATCCTTATTACTGCCTGTTCACTGCTCCTGCACTGGGGTAGCAGCTTCACATCACCAAGGCCTTCTACCTCATCCTGGTCTTTATCCGCCTCTCTGCTCTGAAACCCTCAACAACTCCCTAAGGCCTGCAGGAAACACCTTGGACCCCTCAGCCTGACTTTTGGGGTCCTCTGCATTCTGACCCGAAGCTTCCTTTCCAGCCTTATTTCCTTCTGCTTCTTGGTGGGCCTTTTCTTCCACCCTACGCTGGGTGCTTCAGGACTCAGCACAGGCCATACTGAGCATGGTTGACCCATGGTGGTGATTAGAGAGGAGTAGATGCCTACCTTTGCACTGCTGAGAACACTACTGGCCTCTCCTCCTGGTCTCTGCTCCCTGCCTTCCCCAGGGTTTGCTGGTGCCAGTCCTGCTCTGACTTCCTCCCTCCCTTGTCCCTCAGGGGAGATCGTGGTGAAGTGGTTTGAGGCTGTCCAGACTGGCCTGCCCATGTGCATTCTGGGTGCACTCTTTGGACCAATCAGACTCAGTGCCCAGTAAGTCCTCAAGTAGCTGGGGGTCAGGGAAGAACTCAGAGGGGCCAGGGCTCCAGGAAATGGGAAAACCGTACAGGCCCCTGATAAGTCCTTATGGCTCTCCAGGAAGCAAGGGTGGAAAGAGTGGGGCAGAGGGGTGAAACCATGGCTCCCATGGGACCTAAGGGATAGGGCTGTCAGTGAATAAAGCCTGAACATCTCATGAGATCCTAGGGTCTCGTGTCAGGCCTCAGTGCTGGGGTCAGATGATTAGAGACAATGGGAAGGCAACATAATGTTAGTTTCTAGGGTTAGGAAGTCTTTGAAACCTGGGCTTTGGCTTATTCAAGATGGGAACAGGATTATACTCTGAATTTCCATATTCTTATCTGAAAAGTAGGGTTAATAACTACCTCCGTCATAGGTCTGTGCAAAGATTAACGGAGAAAATGCCTATCAAGCTCTTTACTCCTAAAGTACCCCACTCTCAGGGACCTTATATTTTCTTTCTCCTCTGCTGCCTCACAGGAGCCTGCAAGTGCTAATCTCAGAGCTGATCCCATGGGCAGTTCAGAATGGGCGCAGAGCACCGTGTGTCCTCAACCTGTACTACGAGCAGCGCTGGGAGCAACCCCTGAGGGCTCTGCGGGAGGAACTGGGCATCACACCACCCCCCACGGGTCTCAAAGGCCTGGACTGAGCCAGGAGGATGGGCCTGCCCCTGTGTTCCGTGGGGTCAGAGGGCCCCTCTGCCACTATCTTTGTTCCTTTACTCTGAACACTGATCTTTGGACATCACTTGTTATAATTTGCCATAATCACTGCTGAGCAACCTTGAGAGCCAACCCAGGAGGAAGCAGACATCACAGCGTGTCTCCCAGAGAAGCCAAGAGCCCCACGAGGATTGCTGCACATGAACAGGGTTGGGCTGTCAAGGCTCACACTGGGATATCCCAGGTCTGCAACCCAGGGATCTGTTTTGGACCCCTCCCTGTCAGAATTTTCTGAGAGTCAGGCTAGGGTCTCCCCATGGGAGTAAGGGCTACACCCAGTTCCAAAGGCCTGAGAAGGAGGACACGTGTCTGCTGTCTGAATAAAGGTTCTGCTGCTCCCTTTTCCCTGCCCATGATTCCCACAGCATTGGGCCTTCCCAGCACTGGGGGCAGTAATTCAGCTCCTTGTCCTACCTTCTCTGGTCTGAAGTTGGCAGACCTGGCTTCAAATTCTTAGCTCGGCTCCTTAGGGCAAGTCTTTTCCAGGAGAGCAGGGATCTTACTCTTCCGCTTCCCTGTACACAATGATGTTATGTGCCATCAAGTTGGACCCGACTCATAGCGACCCCTCCTTGGGTTTCCAAGGCAGTATCACTACGGAAGTAGATTGCCCCATCTTCCTTCCGAGGAGTGGCTGGTGAGTTTGAACCGCCAGCCTTCTGGTTAGCAGTCAAGTGCCTTAGGCACTACGCTACCAGAGCTCCCCCTGTACACAATAGGGGCCTGGTATGTCATTGTTGAAAGAATGGATGCCAGACTCCATGGTAAGCACCACACCTACAGGCTCTCACTCAGTCTTCACAACACCTGGAGCAGAGGCTATTAGTAACTTCACAGTGAAGACCCTGGTCTCAGGTTCAGGGTGTCTCCTAGGGTCACACAGGTGAGATGTGGTGAACCCTGTTTTGGGACACACAGGTCTTGAGTCTTATCCTAGTAGCTGAAGGAAAGCCCTCTTTCCCCCTCTGCCTGAAATAAACCATTTGTAGCTGACCCTAGAGCAGTGCTTGAGGGCAGAGGCTCTGAAGACAAGCAGACCTGGCCCTGCCACTGACCAGCTGTGCACCCTCGTGTCATATCACCCTCTGAGCTTCTGTGTTAGGTAAAGTGGGAGAGCAATACAGTTGTATGCCACATCATGTCTGTTTGGGGAATATCTGACTGCATATACTAGGAGCTCTGGTAGTGTAGTGCCTAAGGCATCTGACTGCTAACCAGAAGGATGGCAGTTCAAATGCACCAGCCACTCCTTGGAAGGTTGGGCAATCTACTTCCATAGTGATACTGCCTCAGAAACCCAAGGAGGGGTTATTATGAGTCAGGTCTGACTCAATGGCACATAACAACAACAACAACATACATCCATGGTCCCAAATCCCATAAAGCCTATGATACTAAAAATTTGAGGTACATACAATGATTCATAATAGCAGATGGGTGTTACTTGGCATATCCATATTATTATTACTGTATTATGTTAAAGATGTTTTATGTTCTAGTGTATCTAGAAGTGTTTGTTATTATTTTTTTTTTTATGCATAGAAAGGTGTTGCTGTTGTTAGGTGCTGTCGAGTCTTTTCTGACTCATAGCGACCCCATGCACAACAGAACAAAACACTGCCTGATCCCACGCCAGCTCCATGATCCCTGCTATACTTGAGCCCATCATCGCAGCCACCGTGTCAATCCATCTTGTTGAAGGCCTTCTCCTCTTTCGTTGACCCTC